AACCTATTTTTTTAAGTGTGTTGGGATTTGAGGGATAGCTTATCATCTTGAATCTTATAATACATAAGGGGACTCCCAAAAGTTTATGGAAAAATTCCATAATCTTTTAATCCCATTTCCACAAACTTTTTGACAGCTTATATATTCTTATATATTATATGCTATTATTACCCTATATATTATACATATACCCTTATAATGATAAATGTCTCAATCTATGGTACATATATCCTCATTTATTTAATCTTCTTTCATTTCCCTTCTCACTGCCCTGGAGTTGATGCAGACTCATAGTGGCCCAACAGGGCCGGGCAGAACTGCCCCTGTGAGTGTCCAGGGCTCTTTATGGGAGTCGAAAGCCCCATCTTTCTGCCACAGAGCAGCTGGTGGTTTCAAATGCTGACCTTGTGGGTCCTAGCCCAACTCATAACTTCAATGGCTTACTAATGCTTCATAAGGTTTACTGTATGTCTTGTGTTAAATATTTTCATACACATTTTGTAATTTTAAATGTTATTTGCTAGAAAAACTTTTAAGGTGGATTCTGTTACCATGGTCAGAGGCACCTAATACCCACAGCTCATTTGAATTCCTAGTTGGATATGACGAGTCAAGGACACAGAGAATATCAACACAAAGCAAAATTGAAAGATGGGGCTACCCAATTTGTGGACGGCTAAGGAGGAGAGTGGGAGCCCAAACTCCATCTGCAGAGTAGTTGATCAGATGAAGCTTCTGACCCTCTGGCCACAGATCAGGGACCTTAGCAGCTTTCCTATCAGACAGAGCTTATTATAAACTGAATCATGGTGGATTGAACCAGGGCATACTGTGACCTTCCTCTTGACCCAACCTGAACTTGCTCTAGGCTCAAGTACTTCTTGCTTGTTCCAAGATAGAAATGTCTTCTCTGGCTTTTTAATATTGCCAGTGGTCTTTCCTTTCTTACACTTGGTTTTCATTGTTATCCTTCTAATATTATTTTTTTCGGCTTTGTTTTGTTTTTGTTTCTGTCGGTTTCCCAGTTTGTGAAGCACAGAAGGAGTGGATGCACAGAGACAATGACTGGTGCAAAGGTTTATTGGAGATGGGGTAGGGAGGGAGGGAGAGGGACGTTGGGGAACAAACAATGAATGCGGGAGTGGGGAGGGAGCACCAGAACTGGTTGTCATGATATATATATAATCACACACATATATAAAACTTTTAAAGAGCAATTTAACTATGGAAGGGTCTGATATGTGAAGTTTACATCAGTAAAACTATTACAAACAAAAACAAAGACGGTGCTGAAGAGAAGGCAGCATGTCTACCGGTGCTAGTTCAGAAAGTCAGTGGGTGTACGGTGACTGAAAGCCACCGGGCAGAGGTGCTGGCATGCTGATAGCACGCTCTCTCTGAATGCTGCATTCTGGGTGCTGGTTACATCTGCGAGGATCCCTGGTGGCACAGCGAGTTACACATTCGGCTGCTAACCGCAAGGTGAGCAGTCTGAACTCCCCAGCCATTCCACAGGAGAAAGATGAAGCATGCTGCTCTTGTCAAGATTTACAGCCTCGGGAATCCTAGAGAGGGTTGTTCT